CCCCAAGGGCGGCTGCCGCCAGCTCAGCGGCACTAGCGTCGCCTCCCCCGTCGTTGCCGGCGTCGTGGCCCTCCTCGCCTCCACGGTCCCCGAGGCGACCCGCTGGTCCGTCCTCAACCCGGCCAGCATGAAACAAGCCTTAATCGAGGGCGCCGCGCGGCTGCGCGGCCGCGGACTGTACGAGCAGGGCGCCGGCCGGGTGGACATGATCGCGGCCAAGGGGATTCTGGATGATTACAGTCCGCGCGCGTCGCTGTTCCCCGCGAAGCTGAACTTCACGGACTGCCCCTACATGTGGCCGCACTGCGAGCAGCCGCTCTACGCGTTCCGCATGCCGCTCGCGTTCAACGCGACCGTGCTGAACGGCCTCGGCGCTTCAGGGCGCTTCGCGCGGGCCCCGCGGTTCGAGGCGGCCAACGAGGCGGGGCAGCTGCTGGAGGTGTCCTTTACTCATGCGGAGGTCCTCTGGCCGTGGTCGGGGTGGCTCGGGATTTTTGTAGAGGTGGGTAGGACGGCCGGGGCGCCCAGGGGGGGGGCTGCTGGGGGGATTTTTCACCACCCGTGTGCGGTGTCAGCTGGGAGGGGTGACGGCTGGGCTTTCAGCTGCCGGGTGTGGGGGGGGGGGTTACCGGCGACTTGGGCGGGTGCAAGTGCGCGCGAGGCGACAGACTTGTGAGGAGCCACGCACGCAGCTGCGGCGGGCCGCTTGAAAGTCGCGCCGCCGCCGCCGCCGTGCTCGCCGACTCCCCCCCCCCTGCTGATGGACTGATGTTTCATGTGTTGCACCCCCCCCCCCCAAGGTGTCCCCTGTTGCCTGGAACTTCAGCGGCGTGGCGGAGGGGGAGGTCATCTTCACCATCGAGTCACCGCCACCTTGGGGCTCCGACGCCCCGCGCCGCTCCACGGTGCGACGGCGCCGCCGCACGCCGCCGCCGCCGCCGCTGTGCGACGGGGCGCTGCCGCCGTTGGGCACTGCAAAGAGCGGCAACACGCCTGGGTCCCGTGCCCGAGCGGCCGCCTGCTCCCCGCCTCTAGGCAGAGACTTGCGCCTGCCCTGCCTGCATCGCCCTCGCCAGCGTCGCACCCAGCGTCTCTCCGACTTCTTTTGGAGTCTACTATCGTTCACATCATGCAGGCAGCAACCACAGCTCGACTCTGCCATGCGGCGGCGGACTTTCTGCGAGGCAGATCACGGCGGCCGGGCTGATCCCTGAAATTCCCCTGCTCGAAACCCTCGGACCCCCCTCAGGTGCGCGTGCCCCTGACGGCGCACATCGCGCCCACGCCGCCCAAGGCGCGCCGCGTGCTGTGGGACCAGATCCACTCCGTGAGGTACCCTCCTGGCTACATCCCCCGCGACAACCTCGACATCAAGGTGGGGGCCTTGGGGCGCGCCGGCGGGGCCAGCGCGCTCGGCGCACGGCGGAGCGGGGTGTGGGGTGTGAGGTATGGAGTGAGGGGCGGTCCCACCCGCGGCTGAGCCGGCCGCGTGCCACTCGTCCAGGGCATACGATTTTCGCGGCTGCTTTGATGGAACGCTGTGGTTGATCCATTCGAAACGTCGGGCATGGGTGCAACTGTGAAGGCCACTGACAGTGATCCACCCGGCCGTCCCTGGCCGCACAGCCCAGCCCCCGCATTTGACAACCCAACCGCGCCGCTGCTCTCTAAACACGGCCCGCCGTTCCGCGGCTCCGCCGCGGCCGGCCGCAGTCCGACATCCTGGACTGGCACGGGGACCACCCCTACACCAACTACTACGACATGTACACCGCCCTCATAAAAAAGGGTGAGGGAAGGAACCACATTGGTAGAGTTCACCCTGCTGACGCGCGTAGTTGTGCAAGAAGCCAGGCGCCCCCCCTTTATTCAGCGTGTTCGGCGATCGTCGAGCAGCAGTGAGGCTCGGGCGCGGCTACAGCGTCGTGACCAGCACCCACACCCACACCCTCCCTCTCACCGACATTCCCCACCACCACCACCGCCGCCACCCCCCAGGATACTATCTTGAGATTCTTTCGAGCCCCGTGACATGCGTTGACCTCCGCAACTACGGGTGAGGGCGGGGCGGAGGGCGTAGAGCGGCGGAGGGGTGCAGGGGGTGCGACGCGCGCATCGGCTTCCTGAGTGTTCGTGTTTTTTTCTGGGTGGGTGGGGGAAGGTTGGAAAGAGGGGGCTTGGCGACCCTGGGCTGAAAGCTTTGGGTCTGGGGCACGACGCCGCTCAACCCTGGTTTCGGGCCCGCCCCCCAGGGAAGACTTTGGCACGCGCCTGCAAGACGCCGCTGCACCTCCCCATCCCACTCCGCCGCCCCTCCCTACCAAACGCGGCGGCGCCCCTCCTTTGACGGCCGCCCTCCCCTCTTCGCCACCCCCAAAAAAACAATCATCGCACCCAAAGGTCCTACCTGGTGGTCGACTCAGAGGACGAGTGGTACCCCCAGGAGGTGGCCGCAGTGGAGGCGGCCGTCAAGCAACACGGCCTGCAGCTCATCGTCTTTGCAGAGTGGTGCGTGGCCGGTGGGGACCACTGTGTCAAGGGGGCGGGCAAGGGGGGTGAAGGGTGGCAGCTTGTTTGGGCGGCGGGCGGGGCGTGAGGGTGGCAGCGTGTCTGCGAGGGAGGGACGTTCTTTTGGCCACAACTGGCCTTGGAGGGCCCCCTCGCGGGTCACGGATCATCTCAGGGCACCAGAAAGCGCCAGACACAGGGAACGCCCCGCCCAGCGGGGGCCGTCTGCTTAGCATGCCTGCCTGGCGTGCCACACACCTTACAGACGCACGCATGCTGGCCGGATTTGCACAGCGAATCCTCACAGCAAGACCCGTCTTTGTAACCACCACCACTGCACCCGCAACCTCCGACCGGCAGGTACCACGCCGACTCTTTGACTGCCATGAAATTTTTCGACGATAACACGCGCTCCTGGTGGACCCCCGCCACCGGCGGCGCCAACGTGCCCGCCTTGAATGAGCTGCTGGCGCCGCACGGGGTGGCGCTGGGGGACGCCATCGTGCAGGGCAGCCTGCGGGTCGCGGGCATGGACGTACCGGTGCGCTGCGTGGGGGCGAGGAGGCTGGCCGCTGCTTGTCTGGGGGCAGGCCGGCCTCCGCTTGTTGGCGCAGCCGGGCGCTGCTTGGTGGTTGAGTAGACGCTCCATTGCAGGCGGAGCCCTGGCTGACGAGGACATATTGCGGTCGCAGGGCCTCAGTGCTACCACACACACACACACACACACACACACACACACACACCTCTACTCCAGGTGTCCTACGGTACGTCGATCTGGAAGTTCCCCGCCGGCGGCGCCGTCCACGCCGCCTCCCTCAGCGACTTCGCCTCAAAGGGCGGCGCCAAGGATCCCAGTGACAGCGGCGCCAGGAAGGACGCGCCCAGGGCGGAACACGCGGTGCTGGGCAGGGCGCGCAGCGGCGCGGGCGGCGTGGCGGTGTTTGGGGACTCAAACTGCCTCGACCACAGCCACAGGGTGAGGGCGGGGGAGGGGTCAAATGTGGATGTGTGTGTGTGTGTTTGTGTGTGTGTGTGTGTGTGACAGGGGGTGGTCACATGAGGCATCGGGTCAGTTTTGGCTGGGGTCAGGTAGAGTCTGTCTTGCTGGCTCTAGTGGCATGGGTTTTGGAGATGGCGCTCCGCGCGCGTCAGTGTGTGGGGAGAGGGTGCGGCCTCCTTGGGCCCTCCTGCACATGCGCCGCGCCGCCTGCCTCAGCCTGCGGCGCTGTGGAGGGCGTAGAAAACCCTCATCGACACGCGCTCCTTCATTGCAAACCCAACACAAACATGCACACACAACACACAAACACACACACCACAACAACACACACACACACCCCAAAACACACACACACACGCGCGCACCCTCCCGCCCCCCAGGTCTCCCAATGCACCGACCTCCTGACCATGCTTCTGGACGAGCTCGCCGGCGGCCAGGACCGCGGCCTCTTCGCAGCCGCCACAACGCTGGCCCAGCCCTATGTAGCCTCCCACTTCTCAGCCCCGCCCGCGCGCCGCGCCGACGTGAACTTCACGCAGTTCTCCTGGGTGCTGTCGCACCCAATGGAGTGCTACGCCAACGCGCCGCGCGCCGGCCGCGGCTGCGGCGGCGCGGCGGCCGGCGGCGGCGGCGCCAACGCGACGGGCGCGGC